AAGTGGCACCCCAAGAAAATGAAGAGGGAGAGTAGCAGTGGTGATTCAGAGATTGCCCAACAAAGGATAGTTGTTGTCAATGAACAAAAGCAATGAGGGACTGTCAAAGCCATGCTCAAAATATTCTATAAATGCAGAAGAGATCCACATTTAAGACAAATGATAAAACCAGACAAAATGAAATTGCTTGAAATCTCACAAAAAGGAAGGAAAAAATTCATGCCCAAATTACAAGTAAACAGCTAAAGACACAAAAATCCAAAATAAAAGGAACAAAGAAAAACTGGTGGAAGAAAATGGGAAAGACTCAGGGAAGAAAAACACTCATTAGTAAACATCCATCTGCTATATCTGGCCATTATGCGAGTGAGGGGAAACAAAATCAAATAGAAAATCTCAAAACACAACTGGGATGAGTGTAAAACCGACACTCGAAAAGCTCACTATTGAATATTGGCATTCCATTACAAAGAATGAAGTCCTCTCCAGAGAAAGAAATGTTAAAAAATATGGGGAGATATATTTGCACTACATTTTCATTTTCATTTTGGATCCAATGGCGATCTTACTCTTTTTTTACCATTGTTGAATACTATTCAAGTCCTCCCAACACAAGGAAGTGTTATTCATGAGCTTAATAGCTGCAATTTAACTTTCTTATCCTGGAGAACAACTTTGCACTCAAAAATTTATTCAGCTGTTTGGATGAACTTGATAAACTCGTTTGGATTCATGCTATAGTCAAAATCCGATAAATTCAACTTTACTCCAAGATCATTATTTCTCCTTTGATATTCGATGCCAAATTGTTGTGAAATTGGTTATTTGTCACTAGAAACTTTCTAATTAAAGGGATCACGTCCTCCTCTAGATCTAGTGTGTCACCATCATGTATATGAGTTATGGGACAATAGGATTTCTCGTTCTATATCCTCCATAGTAATCTCCTAACATCTCATTGGATGTTTCTTGTTAGTGACATGACTAGGACAAGCGGTCTCATTTTTCCAACGGAAGTTTTGATGAAAAATTCATAGGTGGTTTAGGGTTAGGTGGGTGATGCATGCCTTTTTTTTTTCTTTTTTGGTCCAGAGGTTGGCTGAGGGCTTAGAGTTTTGGGTGGAATGTGTCAAAGCAACTTTTTGTGGATGCTTAGTTTTGGGATTTCTTTTTTAGATGTAGGAAACATAAAATCTTAAAAATTTAGCGATTGTTGGACTATGGTACTGGATGATACCGTTCTGGTGCTCCTAGAAGTTGTTTAGGAAGTAGATTTAGGTGAGAGGTGGTTGGGAAATGGTAAGGGAAGAAAAACATGTTTGAACTTTCGCAACTGACAAATTGAAAAAAATAAAGAGAACTCCAAAACAATAATGTACGGATGACAAAGAAATTCATCACCTGTTCCTACTTGAGTTATAGACGCAGCGCTCACAAGCGAAAGAGAAAGACGATACAACACTCATAAAATAAAAATTAGAAATTACAATATCCAAATTATACAAAACCAAGTAAAAATTATTCCAGCAGAAATAAACAATGTATAAATACATTACTAACAGAAATTAATCAAAAAAGAGAAAAAAAAACCCCCGAAAAAAAAACCGAGCCTAATTTGATCAAGGGTCGAAGCATCGGTCACTTCCGCTATCGCGGAGGTCTTCAATTCCGCGGGGTCGCGGAATCACGCGATCGGGATTCCCGCAATTCCCTGCGATTGTGCGGACAGACTCCCGCGTCACGTTGGTAAGCTGTCTTTCTCCGACCAAAAATCCACGACTGCAGAAAAGTTCTTCAGGCTGGCGTATCTCGGTCAGTCCGAATTGGGTTAAGCTTGTAAATACTGTGTAATCTTGCGAGAAGGTCATTTTGGACAAAATTAAGCCGCGATTTGATAAATTTGG